TATATATTTATAATTTTATGCATTCCATTTAGATATATTATATATAATGTTTATATATCATATATTCATATTATATATATGTATATAAAATTTTGGTTTATGGTTTGGTTTGGTTTATAAAATTCAATAAACCAAACTGAAACTGTAAATCGCAATTTAGAAAATTCTCAAACCGAACCAAACCATTTATAGATATAAATCAAACCAAACCACAAATTCGGTTTTGCAGTTTGAACCGTATAATAAACCCCTAGAAATAAACCCATTTTGAATAATTAAACATTTATTGAAAAAGCACTTATAGCTTTCTTACCCGTTTTAGCCCGTCACATTATTTTTAAAATACCTGAAAGAAACAATTTTCATCAAACACTTAGTAAGTGCTTATCATTTAAGCTTAAACACTGTTTGGGAGTTAGAACTTTATTTATAGCTTACCAACTGCTTAAAATTTCATTAATGGCTGGCTAACTAGTTCCATCCATGTATATGTATATATATAATAAAATTATAGAAAATAATATATAATAAAAATATTATAATTGTTAATTATTATAATTTTTAATTTTTAAATATAAAATAAAAAAATTATATATAATTTTTATTTTTATAAAATATTTTTTTAAATATTTTTATAAAATATAAAATAAACCGATCCAAGTCAAACTTGAACTCAAGGTTCTGACTCTAACCAAGCTCGAATTCGAGCTTGAACCTTGTAAAATAGTCTCGAACCAAATTCGAGCATGATAATATTCAGCTCCAATCGACTCGAATCCACCCCTACTTGATGCTTTGGATAAGGGACTAACATTCTATCCTTTTTCTAAATTAAAATATCAATATATTAAGGAATGAGGACCCAACCCTATCTAGTATCTAAGCATTTACGAAATAATCAAAGGACAATTAACACCACCTACGCCAGACAGGAGTCAGCAGGGGCGGCCAATGAATATGAGTGGGCGGCTGCACCCTGCACGTGAATTAACAAAAGGTAAAAGGGTCCTACGGTTACTGTTATCCCACTCTGGATTCCATCTCTACCTTTTTCGTTTTAATCTTTTATCACCTCCCCTCTTCTCTACTCTCTGTTTCTCTCTTCTTTTGCCATATAAAAAATGGAGTAATGTTCGCTTTCGCTTGAAAGTGTGAAGTGTAAACAACGAGATTGTGCAACTCTTTGGGTACCTCGCCACCTGTTTAGCATATTCGGACTCGTGATACTACATGCTACAAAATTAGGGGTTTTCAGTCCACGGTGAGGTACTGAGGTACTGTTCTACTTAGATGACCAGTCTTTTTTTTTTTATACATTTGAGAGAAATAACAAAAAAAAAAAAAAAACTCTGAAGAAAAACAAAATGACCAGTCTCTATTACCTAGCCTTGATCATTCTACAGGGTGCAAAAGCCAGAAAGACAGGAGGTAATGCGGGTGACAGAGTTCCAGAGCTTGCAGGAGGTAATGCGGTCAAAATTCTTCACAAGTGCTAATAATTCTACAGTTTAGTGCTCAATTGCACCATTCTGCAGTAATACGGTCGAGCTTTCTTTATGTAATTTTATTTCTTTTAATACCAAAACCACCAGCACCAAAGCATGAATTAAATTCTTCCCTGGGCAAGTCAATCCATCTCTATCAACTTCATCTTTTTTTTTATGATTTTTTTGGCCAGGTGTAGGGTTGAAAAATGGAGACGGGCCATTGGGTAGGAGGATCTTCCCACCAAAAGTCTAGTTGGGAGTTTGGAGTCTTAAATATTGTCATAAAAATACTTAAAGCTCACTCTGTTCTTGACCCATCAATTGATTTGAAGTTTTGAAGTAAGAGCCAACGACTCCACCTGAATGTTGCTTCCAGTTTCTACCGTTTTAACATTAAAATAAATGCAATGCAAGACTTTGGGAGAAGCATAAGGAATAGAGCAGATAAGAGAGAGAGAGAGAGAGAGAGAGAGAGAGAGAGAGTGCTCTTCCTCTTTTAACTCAAGTGGAAGCTTGGATTGTTACCAAAGTGTTTGATAAAATCAGCATGTGAACATGCTACATTTTTAGTTTCTTTGTAATCTATGGTCTAATAGAAGTAAAGGACATTCTGAACTCTGAAGAATTAAAATGGCAATTTAAGGATCTACCCATTTCTTGGTTATAATTTCTATTAAAACCCAAAAGAAGACAAATAATTTAAGCCTTATCAGAGACAAAATTCAGGAAAAAGAGAGTGCTCTAGTTTTTTTTGGTGGGGGTTCATAATGTGGTTTTTGACCCTCATAGGAGACAGATCATTATTGGATTGATGGGCCACGTATACAAGTTTTTAGGTCTCATCAGCGCTCAGTCTCCTCATATTCATCAGATTTTAAAGTAAATGAAATATAAATTAATTCCAAAACAGAGAATGCAGAAACTAGCGACCAATAAACTATATATCTGGGTAGATTTGTTGGACTTCTTGGACTTTCTAGACTGCAGAGAGAACAAGACAACAGTTATATCCGCAAATTCAAGGATAATTTTTCTTATCTGCAGCAGCAAGAGGACACGCCCTTTAATATATAAAATTCAGTAAAATATCCAATAAATGCGTTCACACTACATACACAAAAACAGAGGTTTCAGACAGGCTTCAACAGTTCAAACTCTGGGAGTTTAGCTGAGAACTTGATAATATTCCTCTTCTGTGGATTTGCAGGTATAATTAGGGAAGGGAGAATTTTCATATTCTTAGCTAGGACTTCTCGGTTCACGAGCTGCGTCCTCGACAGATCTAGATAAGCTGCTACGGAAACTACACAGGAATCAGTTTGACTTCTGAGCAGAGGCAACTAGGCAAGAAAAAAGAAAAAGAAAAAAACCATCTCTTTCTCCCTCGACTTTTTTCCCCTTCAGCTTTAAATCTCTGTTCATTTTTGTTACTCGACAAGATTTTAACTTCATGGGTTTTGCATATAGATCACGGTGAGTCCACCTGGGTTACTGTGATTTCTCTTTCCCCTGTTTCACTCCCTTGGATACGGTGATATTTCTTTAAAGAAAGTTATATTAGCTTTATCGGATTCTGTTTATTACTGTTGATGGCGTTTGCTTATTTTTAGGTTTGGTGCCTGGGTCTGAACTCTGAAGTAATTGACCTGAAAGTTCTCATTTTTGGTGTTTCTGCCTTCTGGGTTTTGAGAATCTGTCTTTCGTTCTTCCTGCTAGGGTTCAAGACATTAGTCTTGGTTTGACTGTAATTGTGGGTTGTAGTTCTACTACCAAGAGTTAGTGATCTCTAAATTCTAAGTCAGTTTGATTTGCATTTCTTTTCCTTAAATTTTGAGAACCAGTTTTTTTTTTCTTCCCTTCTTTTTCTGCCAATCCAAGTTTCTTTTGCTTACGGCTTGCTTGAGTGTTGATTGTTGGTTATGATCATGGATTCTCACCAACCAGTTGTGTCTCTGTCCAAGAGCTCCTCTGTTGGTGCCGAGCCAGAGAGCCAGAGATCCGGTTTTGCCTCTCAGACGTGTGATGGTTTCACCGGAAAAATTGGCGTCCATGGAAAGGAAGGTGCAGTTGCTAACTCGGAAGACTTCATTGGCGTTCTTGAAGTCTATATACACCAGGCTAGGGATATCCACAACATCTGCATATACCATAAACAAGATGTATACGCCAAGCTCTGCCTGACAAGCAATCCTGAAACTACCGTTTCAACTCAGATCATTAACGGCGGAGGAAAGAATCCAGTCTTCAAAGAGAATCTTCGACTCAAAGTTCGAACTGTAGAGTCCTCCCTCAAATGTGAGATATGGATGCTGAGCAGGGTAAAAAATTATCTTGAAGACCAGCTGCTTGGGTTTGTACTGGTGCCTCTATCGGATGTCCTCATCGGCAATGGAAAGTTGGCACAAGAGTTTTCACTCTCCTCGACGGATCTCTTCCATTCTCCAGCAGGGTTTGTGCAATTGTCACTCTCCTACAGTGGATTTTCACCAGAAGTCGTGGCTATTCCTGCTCCACAAACATCTCTGACTGCACCTACACCTGTGCAAGATTCAGCGGAGTCTGTCCCCAGTGACCTAGATAAGATTGAGTTCCCAGATCCAAAAATTGTGAATGAAAACAATCTCATGGTTTCGGAATACTTTGGGATCTCATGTACCACTTTGGACCCTCAGAGCTCTGAGAGTTTCAGCACCTCAGACACCGAAAATAACCTCAGTTCTGACATAAGTATTCATGTTGTGGAAAGCTTCTCAGCGGGTAGTGTCGGTTCTGTTGAAATCCAGAAGAAGGATACTCCCCCAAGCAGTGTTTCAACAAACGGATCTCCTTCTGCTTCGATTCCTGCAAGCTCGACATCATTCTGTGATACCCCAGGGACCTCAAAATCTCCAAACCAGGACCTGACTTCACCTCTCAAGGAAAAAGGAGCAGATGTTGCTGAGGCAGAGAGTGATTCGTCAGCTGGGACTCCAAGTAATTCAGTTACACAACCTCTTTTGAATATAAAAATTGAACCAGAGCAAACAGTGGTGCAACAGGATATAGTAGACATGTACATGAAGAGCATGCAGCAATTTACTGAGTCTTTGGCGAAGATGAAGCTTCCAATGGACATGGAAAACGGAACCACCAATTCTGGGAATGCCAATTCTAGCTCTGATCCGAAATTCCCGTCACCGAAGACCACTGGCTCTAGAGTGTTTTATGGGAGTAGAGCTTTCTTCTGAATTTTAGCTTGACATGTTGTGAGGATACACGGATGGCTTTAGGTTTTAGAATCAAACAGTTGTTAGTGCTATACTTAAAATAGTGGGTCTTTTCTTTTTGAATGTTGGGGTGCTCTTGATGTTGTGAAAACATGACTTGATGTGTTAGTGTTTGTCCATTTCATTGCAACTGCAGTCACCATGTACGCGTCATTCCATCTCTTATTTTTTTCTTTTCTATGGTATATTAGCTGGTTTCTTTTCTGTTATATTACTACTATTTATGTGGGGTTAAGTATTGACTTGGGTTTTGGGAAAATTCTAACTTGAATAATTTGTATTGAAGACAATTTAAGCTAAACCACCAGAACCAGGTTACCAGATATAATCAAGTTCTGTATTCAAATCAATATGTAAGATGTATTGAGCTATTCTTCATATATAAGATAATAACATCATTGTCAGAGAGCAAGTTTCATACAGATGAGGAATAATAATCTACTTCTCATGATTTAGCCTTCATCTCAGTTTTGCACAGTTTCAAACAGGTACTTCAATCACTTCATTTACCCTTGTCTCTCTATGCCTCCTACAAATCCATGCAATCTGGCCATCATCTATATATCTTACCCTCCAGAGGCCAAACTTCTCTGCAATCTGCTTTCCTGTTGAGCACCTCTGATCCCTTAGGAAATCCACAAGCCATTGCTGGGCGGTTCTTAAATCTTGTCGAATGTCCCTGGAACTTTCCCCACCCAATGACCTGGATCTGCTTCTATTTCTAATTCCCTCCACTCGTCCAATAGCTGTAGCCCCCACAAAACCTGCAGCCATCATACCTCCTGCCCCATAAATAGATGATGAATCAACAAGATGTGCAATTTCTCTGCTCAAATCTGGTATCATTTCTCCCATTCCCGCTGCTAGATGGGCTCCTATCTTGAGTGCGAAAGTAAGCAGTTTCATGAACTGCTTCATGTATGGGGCCAAGCACATCACTGCTCTGTTGTCAATTTGCATCAGTTCACAACCCATCTGATCTTCAACCACATGCATTTCCCCCTGGAATTCACATAACATGTGCAGTTTGAGTGCTGTCATTCCAGAAATCACATTGGTAATCAATCTCTTTGAATGGTTTTCTGTTTTGACAACGTAGAACATGTGGGGTACTTTTCTTTCTTCTAGTTGAACACTGTAGTTTATCAGGTAGTTCACCCTGTGATGGAGCTGCATCAAGAGCCTGTGTTCATAATATCTTAGTCCTTGGATCTCTTGCTTCAAGTCTCTAATTTCCCGTTCAATTATCTTCAGCCTCTGCAAAACAGCTTCAACTCCCTTAGCGATGCCATCAAATGTTGGTTCTACTCTGCTGTTAGGTTCATCACCAACTACTGGATGGTCTGGCCTATCTGCTTTGTTTTCTGTTGGAACTGCCAGTTCCATAGCTAGATGGTAGAGGTCATTATATCGTCTATGCAGAACTTCTCGGAAATCATCATCTGATAGGAGGTCTCTAGCAAAATCAAATCCAGCTCTTAAAATGGGCCTGCCCCCATCTGCTACTGGAACCCAGGTGTGCTGGTAATCATACATGCTATCTGCAGGGACTGATAGGAGAGTTTGTTTCAATTGTTGCAAAGACACAAATTGACTTTTTCTGTATCTGGGGGGTGTTAGGTTTTTCACACATTCTGGACGGAGAATATTCTCAGTCAAGGTGACACCTTGGCAGAGGCTCTGGATTGCTGGAATTATGAGCTGCCTGAAAAGTCTAAGAGTTTCTGTGAGGTTCTTAGTGGAGCAGGCAAGGATATCAATGTAGTGACACAGCTGCCCTCCAAGTTCCACTCTTATGTGGATACCGTTGATGATTATTGAGATTAAGTATTTTTCAAGACTGTAAGTTGCTCCATGCTGAGTACCTGACTTGAAAATTTTGTTGTGCAGGTGCACCTGGGTTCACAAATAAATAAGATTAACCGCAAACAAGACTGTTGATTATATACATATTGAAATAATGTTGTACAGAGCTGACAGATATGAGAAAATGAAAGGCTTTCAAATTGGTTATAATGTAAGGTAACTAGAATCATTTGAAAGGGTACTAATGTGAAGATAAGGAATTTCCTTTAAAACTAAGGTAATTTTGTATTTGTATATCATTAAATTGGATCGCCTTGTGAGAGAACTGGGAAAAATATCAAATCAACAGAAATATGCCAATGACATAGCCACTTTTTAGCAGGGATATGATCTTTATGAATAAGGTTGGAGTCTTGAACATAGCATGCAAGCTGAAGTGTTAATGAAATGCTTTGACAAAATAAATCTAAGATAAAGAAGAAATTCTCTCTCAAATGAAATGTTATACTATAAATACTTTTTCTTTTTGAAATGTTTTATTTTCATAATTTGTTTATCTTATTTGATTGGTTTGCTTAATTTTTTTGGCGGTAATTTTACAGTTTTACTCAAACATATTATACGTCTGAATTTGAAACAAGAAATAAGCATCAGATTTTACCTGTAACCGTGGAAAGAAGCCAGGTGTAAGAAACATGTGACTTGAATCATCACACTCAAGATGTCGCCCTGCATAAAAACAATCTGATGTGCTTATCTGCCATTTCTGTGTACGTCCCCTACCTTCTTCAAGAATACATGGGATTAGAAGTAGAGAATTGGGATTCCCAGGATCTTGTTCATAACATAGTTCAAGCTTCAGCATCATCATAACTAGATCACTCGCCTCCAAATTTTCAAAAACCTTGGTACCCATTCCTGGAATGTGACTCTGTAAAGCTCCTTTAAGGATCTTTTCCAGTTCTTTCCTGCTTATGAATCCATTCTTCTCTGTTGAGCTCTGCCTTCCAGCATCTAATTTTATCAATTGGCCAATCACCTCCCCGCAGAACCACTCACAATCTAAGATCAGAAAACCTAGATCGTCGAAAAAGATAACCTCTCCCATGTGATGAAGAGACCTTGCAATAGCCCGCCTTCTTTTGTCCACCTTCTGCAAGTTGTTGTACCTTGATCGGACTCTTAAAGCAGGGACCTTTACCTGACACAGCTCACAGAATTCCTTCCACTTCATCGCTGGCCTGTTGTAGTTCTCTGTCCTCCAGTCTGATAGAATTTTAATCAGATCATTGCAAAGGTCATAAACTTGAGGTACTCTCTGGAGAATTGTCTTGCTAGTTTTTCGAATGTGGTGAGTGAGTTTATTCACAGAGCTAGATGATCTTGCATCAACTGTGAATACTGTTGGATAGAACTCAATAAAACCTTGGAATTTATCTCTGAGTCTCTGTATTGAATGTATGATAACTGGCAAGGTTTCTGATTGTTGGGAAATTTTATCAAAGTGGGTGAGGACCACAGTCACATTTGGCAGAAAGGATTGTAAACCAGCTCTTTTTGAGTTTGAAACAATAAACCTGAGCCAGTACAGGAGGTCCTCTTCTATCTCTCCTGCACTTTTTTGTTCCCTATTGTTGGGCTTCCGAAACAAACTAGATATGATAAGAAAGAATGATGCACTCCTTTGCCCTGGAAACATGAGATCATGAAGGGCATAGAACTCTTGCTGACCTGCTAGGTTCCAGACTGAAATCTTTGTATCCTCATCTTTGAATGTTTTGATCTTGATTCCTACTGTTCTCACAGCTTGCTCAACTGGGCTTAGTATTGTTCTGACCTGGTTCAAATAAGGAAGCTTTGAGGAAGAAAAGTTCTGTGATATGGAATTGCAAAGTGTGGTTTTCCCTGCAAGCAAGACTTTATAAGTTTGATGTTCTTTTTATCTATTTTTAGATTAAAAAATTATGAATAAAATTAATTATTAATAGAAATTGCAAGACAAACCGGCTATTCAATAGAGATAAATTTTATCAACTACTTTTAATCAGTATAAAGCAGCTAATTCAACATTGATTTAAGGTGTGAATGAAATCCAACCTTAGAAATTAACTTACCTGCAAATTCTTGCCCACAAAAGAAGACCCTACAACTCCTTGATACCGTTAATGGCATGTCCTTGAGCAAATCTGTTTCTGGTTCCATCCTCCCATTCTGGCCTAGTTTCTGGTAGATCTCTTCTGTCTTCCCAGAATTATGCAAAGGTGTCCTGTTGAGATCGATTTCTTCTAGCCAAGGATTAACCTGCAATGTCTCCATTATTGCCTGCAAAACCAATTCTCCTTCAACACCTTTACAACCCTGCAATGACAAGCATCGCAGAGTAGCATTCCTTTCCAAGCTCTTGAAAATTTTGATGATGTCTTCCTGCTTTAAGCTCTCATCATCATAAATTCCAAACTGGACCAGGCTCTGGTTGGTCATCAACAACTGCAAGATGGCCATTATTCCATCACGACCTATTCTTGTTTTCCCTCCTCCAAAAGTTACAGATTTCAGAGTTGTGTTTGCTTGGCATTGCAGAGATGAGAACCTGGTCAATGGGCAAAGTAAATGCTCTACTCCTATGCCGCCAAACCAGTTCCCATGAAGGTATAAGCTTTCTAGGCAATGATTCTTGAAGAGACCTGCTCCAACATACATGACTCCCTTGTCTTTGAGGCAAGTTTTAGACAAACTCACCTCTTCGAGGCTGTTGTTTTGTTCTAAAACCCACCGAAACTCCTTTGCCCACCTAGATTTTAGCCGAATCCCAGTCATATCGAGGGACCTGACTGTTGTGTTGCACCCTAGTGCACAAGCAACTCTGCAAGCACTTGAAAGATCTAGCCTGTAAATTCTAAGTGCACTGTTTTCAGGCACAAATTCGACCACCTTGGAAGTTTTTTCTCCACTCCAAATATGTACTTCCATGCTCCTGTTCCTTGCTAGTACTGCAGAGATGAGTGGAGTTGCTGTAATTGGGTTTGAATCAAGAATTATCAATAGCTTCAAGGTGGAATTCACCTCAATCATATTTGAGAGTTCTTCAGCTCCTTTTGACCCGATTGAATCCTCCCATATCTGCAACTCTTCTAAGCTCTCATTCAGCTTCAAAGCAGAAGCAAGCAACTCAGCCCCAGCAGAGCCAATACCTGACTCAGAGAATATTACTTCTTTGATTCCTTCATTTTTCTTCAGCATTTCTGATAACTCCAATAAACACTCTCTGCTAAATCTGTTTCTCCGGAAAACAGTTAGCTTTATATTGGAGTTCTTCTCGAGCAAAGCATGGAGGTTCCTTAGTTGATGCATCTCCCATTCGACTCCATGGAACTCCAAGTTGCGCAGAAATATTTGGGTTTTCTTCGCCACTCCAAGTACTTTCAGGAGGTCAGAGAAGTATGTTAGACTGTTGATGTCTGCTGAGATGCTTATGTTCATGGAGTTCTCTGTTTCTTGATAGCAGTTTGAATTGGGTTGAGAAAGAAAGAATGAAATGCTATGCAGATTTACAGTTTCTGACATGATTGTTTGCATAGCCCATTGGAGATCGTGTAGGTTTTGGATGGATGCCATGATTCGGTTGATAAATCTTTACTAGACTGGAGAATGGAGAGTATTTCTTTACAGAAGGGAGACTGATGGACTAGAACTCAAGGATTAAGGATCCATGAACTATCTAGTGCTTTATGGACGAATTTATTTTGATGTCTAACTACCCAATTGAGTAGAATGGCTTAAAATGACCCTTACATCTTGAAACTGACAATGGTAATCCTGAATGGACTTAGCTCTGGTATCTGATCTCCATTTCTGTCTTTTGAGAGGAATACTTTCCTTCATTCCGAAGTGAAGGCCTATGCTATGCTTCTTGTTATACTTGAATTGGCACTTCATACTTGTGTAAAACTCTACATACCAAATGAGATATAGAGGAGGCATAAGGCCCCATGTTGGCCAAGAAAAAAAATGGCTATTTAAACGGAAGGATGAAACTCACTGAACAGCTAGATTTTGGTGCAATTACTTGCCAATGGTTTATTTGATGTTTAGTTGATACACAGGATCATTTGAACGCACTAAGCTGGAAAGACGATAAGTTGGACAACAATATGATAATGGAGCCTGTTCCTTTATTACTTTTGGGTTGTTGAACTTTGGAAGAAATTCCTCCTCCCTACTTTCTCCGTTGGAACTTTGAACTTTGGCAGGAACAATCGATATACAGAATCTAATATAAAGCAGAAAAAGCAAACTAGTGCAGGTGACGAAATCACTAAATGGTTTGTCTTTATGGGTTGTCAATTGTGCAACTGAGCTTATTAAATGAACTAAATAAGAGCACCAGAATGTTCTTTCCTCCTAATCTAAGCATACCCATTCATTTGGGCCATTGGGTTAATAGTTTCCCTTTCCCATGTTTGGTGCATCATTTGAATGCTGTAGTTCAAATCATATTGGGTGATCCTACTACTACTACTACTACAAACTCAACTCTTCACACATTTGCTATTTGATGAATGTTTGTGATTATATAACGGGCTTGATCTTTCTTATCATTTCATCAGAAAGATGAGGAAATCTGGCGGTCAAGATGCATCCGGTGAGTGTGAATCATAACTGGGTCAAGCGGAAATTCCAAATGATAAAGATTCGGTTGCTTCCAACTGCAGTGTAATGGAGTTTATTCGAGTAGGGTGACCAGAGTCCCATGGTTACTTCGTCACTTGAAATTGGTATATGCTCCTTTGCGTCAAGAACCGAGATCCTTAATAATCAAAATTAAATTGAAATTTACATTGGGGAATCGAACTTTTTGTGCAGATTTTCCTCAATTACAAATTTATGTGGGTTCTCCATTCAACCTAATTGTTTTTTGACAGACCTGCCCTTCGTATTTTCTTATGGTTGATTAAAAGCATCGAAACCAAGAAAAGCCAATGAAGAAAAATGGTAGATAGAACTTTTCTTTTAAAAGTCTCCTTCCTCCTTTATTTATTTATTTATTTGTTTCTCTTTCTCTTAGGATTAATACGAGTGATCATGGGCTGGGCCCGGACCCAAACCGGCCTGAACTACAAGTATAGGCCCAGGCCAGGTTTCAGGTCCATTACTTTATATATATATATATATATATAAGGGCCAGACTAGCCCAGAAATGTTCGGGCTGGGGCAGGCTATAAATGATTTGACCCGAATTAACATTTTACACTGCTTTTGTGCTTCAGGATCAGGCTTTGGGCCGGGACCATTAAAAATTGGCAAAAGCCCAACCCAAGCCCACACAAGTTGCACGGAGCTGGGGAGGGGAGTCAGAACTCAGCAGTCCGGACTCCGGAGTGGGTAATCAGCCCATAAACTAGGCACCCGTGCACTCCTCTAATTGACCAAACTGTCGTTGCTTCTTCATTCATTGCCCCCCTTTCTTGCAGATGAAATGAAGTTAGGCTGTGTTTGGTTTAACAGAGCCCTTCCCACTTCCCAGCACTGCGGAGTTCAGCATTTGTCTTAGGCTGTATTTGGTTTAACAGAAAATAATTGAGAAACAGAATTTGAGGGAAAATCATTAAGAAAGAGAGAGCTTGACAGAAAATAATAACCGTACTAGCTTAGGCTGTGTTTGGGTTAACAGAAAATAATAAGGAACAGAAAAATTAATAAGAAATTTCACAAAAAAATATAACTTCCTCTTAACATATCCATTAGTAAGGTGCTCAAAAGGATGCAGGTCACAACCGAATCATTGCTGGGTCAACCACAAGTCAAATTCCACAAAATGGGATACCCCATTGACACAGAGCCAAGAGTCAATCCTTAGTAGGCCTACACAACAAATACACAATATTCTGACCCACACGGCCGGGGAGAAGAGATGGGGTACTTTCGGATTCCATATGAAAAGAAGCTCATAATTAAGTGCCCATTCATCCACATTCCACACCCCACAGTGACGTGACAATGGACCACTTAACCCCTGTTGCTTTACTTAAGGTTACCGAACGCTGTGTTTGGTTTGAAATTTGAAAGGAAAGGTAGGGAAGCCTTTTTCTTTCAAACCAAACACAGCCTAAGGTTAAAACCCATGATAACCCTTACAGATCCTCAATTATGGAAGATAAAAATTCCAATGTTCAATAGAGCAAAATAAAAATGAACAAGGGGAGAGGGAGGGGGTTCCAATCAGATGACTGCGACCTTCTTAACGTTGGATCAATTGAATAATGGTGGATATTTACTCCACGTCTCTTTTCCTCACGCCCATTTTTTATTTGTAGATATAATTGCCACCAGGTGACTTCAAAACAATATATTTAAGCTCCCAGCAGAACATTTCAAGGTCTCAACCTATTCACCTTTGGATATGTGAAAGGAACACAAGATTTTAGATTACAACTCTACAGCTTAGTACTGACCTAGGAAAATTATCAGAACAACAATATTTCAATTAAGACAGTTCAAGTCATCAAAAGCCAAAAGGTGCTCAAGCAAAAAGCAAAATACAATAATTGAGTGGCAGTTTTGCATTTTCATTGCCCCAAACTAGTGAAGATTAAATTTATTGTAGAAAGAAGTTCAATGTATCCCATAGAAATGAATCAGAATATTTCGTAACTTATTCTTTGGGACCCAGATGGGTAACCCTCAAAAGTTTCACACTAGTAATCACCCAGAACCTCTGGTACAATCTGAAAAAGACAAAACCCAAAAAAAAAAAAATGAAAGAAAACATACCTGACAAGAACCGGCAACTTTGCCTGAGACATTACAGGGGGGAAAGAAATTAAAAAGAAAAAGAGTCTGTCTTTGTGTATCGCCAAAGAAGAACGATACATTGATTGGAATCACTCTTTTCTGAATATATCCCGCAAGCTGATTTTACATCTCAATCAAACCCAAATAAGAAATCCTAAATTAATTAAAAAACCTCAAATTTTTCAATCCTTACACAAAATTCCTTGTAACTGCTCTTTCTGAATTCAGCGTCTTCAAAATAGCCACTCCAGTTAGCTCTAGATAATCAATTTCTTTTTAGCTTAAATATATTAATGAGGGGGATGTACGAAATTCACAGTCGTTTACTTGGTTCACTGGATTACCTTCACCTACAATATCCTCGTGATATCGAAATAATGATCCTCCTACGCAGCAATTCCTGAAGCAAGAAACACCCAATAATGAGTAAATATCACAATATACCATAGCATAATGGTTACTAAAACCAGAGCAATTAATTAGTAATTACTCGGCATAAAACAAAAGGAGTATGTAACCTTTACACATCCCACTTCCTGACTTTCTAGAACCAAATCCTTTTTACAGTTTAACCTGGCAACTGAAATGGTAAGACAATGTTTTGCAATCAATATTATCAAAATCTTAATTGATTTGAATCATGAATCCCATGGGTTTTGAATTGAATCTTGTGTCTAAATCCTTTTCTTAGGATTTTTGCTTGAATCCTACAATTGACTCATAAATCTTACAATTTATACGATTCTTGTGATTCACTGCAATTCAAATAAATTCGACAAAGAATCAGTTTTCTACTTTATTTTTTTTTTCTGTTTATATTTAATTTTGTCAAGAGAGAGTTGTTTTAAAGCCCTTACTACAAAATGAGTTTATTTTCCATCATATGTAGGTTAAAGCACCATTATATGTGAATTATTTGACTTACAAGTCAAATTTGGTTATATCATCTTAATCTTCTATATAAGTGGTAAATTCTATTTATAATAAGATTCATGATTTGATTCAATTTGACTATCTTAATCTTCTATATAAGTGGTAAATTCTATTTACAATAAGAGTCATGATTTGATTCAATTTAACTATCTCTATCATTTACAATACAATAATGATTTTTGGAACAATGTCTGCAATCAATTCAAGCACAGGCTGAGCTGCCTAAAGAGAAAGAACAATAATCAGGTTGAACAAACTAGTGCACCATTTGTAACATGGAGACTTGAGCAAGAGGTCACCAAACTAAAACGTAAGAGGTCACCATTTGTAACATGGAACCATAGTTCTATGATTCCATCCAATGTTTTAAAATGCAAATGCATGATGCAAGGCACTCCACTACCTGGAGGTGTGAGACAGAGTTCAGAACGCAAGAGGCATAAGCCTCCTTAAGAGGAGGGGGATGAAGAGGGAGAAGGAGGAGGGGGAGGAGGCCCACTTTCTTTCCCCTTATCTTTCCTTCCCTTTTCTTTTTTTTTTTCCATCTCTTTCTTTCTTTCTTTTCCTTTCATTTCCTTTATTTTCTTTTTCCTTTCTTGTTTTCTTTTTTTTTTTCTGTCTTTCAGTATGAGGTATACACCTCTTGCACCTGAGGCATATGCCTCAGAGGTATCAACACCTCTGGCATATTCCTCAGGGCATTTTGGCAGTGCTTCGCCTGGAGGCACGAGGCATACGCCGCACTTGCCTTTTGAAACACTGATTCCATCTCAGCAAGAATAATTCTAGGATACTAGTGCAACTATACAGTCTAGCATCTCATATAGTTGCTACCAAGTTCTGTCTTTTGTTTGTTTGCCTTCCTTATAATGAGATTAAGTCTGAGGGTGACCACTTCTATAAAAAACATATACAGTACCTAGCCTGCTCCTCCAAAGACCCAGATAAGGCAGATAACTGGATCCAACATTGGGTAATGGCTTTTTTTAAGACTGACAAGGCATTTCTAGTGCTACAAGCCTACAATAACTTCAACATAAGCCTCTATCAGGAAAGAACATGCACTTATCAGTTTGTGTGGTGCAGGCAAGGAAGTAAGATAAGAGGGTACTGACTACGGAGAAAGAACTCTTAGTTCTTTTGAGCTTCTTAAATTTATTATCTAATTTGTTTGTCGTAAAAATAGGGTTTTATGTCTTCTAGAGAAGTAGAAATATATTGTAACTAGTAAAAATATAAATTGCTACATGCAGTAACTTCCAGACATACTATTTATAGTAATTCCCCTAATTGCAATTTATAGTAAAATCATGATTTGCTATTTTTTAATATTTTCTGGTGTCTCTAAAATAAGTTAATTTTAATAGGACAGTTTGTTAGAGTTTTTTTTTTGGAAAGGGTAAGGTAATTTTATTCAAACAAAGAGAACATACAAACAGAGCTCAGGCCAATGAAAGCAGCCTGGGAACAACACAAGTTACAAGCTCCAACAGGACTGAGACCGAAATAAAAGAGGCATGAAGTAGTTAAAAGTGGTTTTGATTCAGTTTCCAAGTTGAAATTAGAATCTGCAAAAAGGAAATCTTACCCCACTTAATTTATAAAAAGAGTCATTGATTGTGATTGGAATTTGAGTGGAATTGATGGAATAAAAGTTTGCTTCTAAGTTGCCTGTGGATAACAGTGTGATCTTATTCTTTCTATCTCTTTTCCATTGAGATATAAATCTCTTCCCTTTATAATTCAGATCCTTGATTCTGCTTTTTCTTCCCAAAATGTTCATCCTAGTAGGACTTTCTCCTTACTACTCCTTATATCCTACTTAATTAGTCCATTGAGAGTTCAGTTTAAAAGATTTTGCTTGATAGAAATCAGTTTAAAAGATCTCTAGAAGTTCATTATTTCTTCTCCTCTTTTCTATTCAGATCCACCTCCTCATAATTCAGACCCTTAATTCTCCTTTTTCCTCCCACAACGTTCACCCTAGTACGATTTTCTCATTACCATCCCACTTCATTGTGGGTCCAGTTTAAAAAGAGTTTACTTGATAAATATCAGGAATACCAGAAGAGTAATCACCACCTTATATTTTAATTCTCTTTGGACTGCAAGATGCACAGACTAAGAAAATGTCCTTTTAGGCTTTTCCTATATAACATCTGACGGAGTTAATTATTTTGGTCAACATGGGTTCATATTTGGGGTCCAATAATTGTCATTTGTCAGTTCAAGCCAAAAAGTTAAGTAACATCTGTTTAATTAGAAACCAATTCAGGACTGTGTCTATGCCAATATTACCCAATTTTTCCCGTCTTTATTTCCAAAAGTAAAAATGTAGAGAAGATGAATAATGAAACATCATAAAAGTAAAGCATAACTTACAAACACACAGCAAAGAAATCAGTACGTATTTTGGAAGACATTTGCGCTTAAAAATGAAGTCTGATGAAAAGTAACACACCACGAGCCATGGTTTAGTGGCATACAAGTGGCGCTTAGGATCATTAATCCACTCCACGAGCCATGGTTTAGTGGCATACAAGTGGCGCTTGGGTATGACATATTACACATTACAGGGGGATTAAGGGGTTGGGACAGAGAAGGGGTACATGTGAGGTTAACTAACCTTACCACGGAAAGCCTCCACTCATGTGGGTTTGATCCTGAACCTCCATATGCGGAGGGTTTCTGAGTGACCATCTCAGCTACTGGGTCATCTGCACAACCTGGGTTCGCATGACCTTGAAAGAGCTCCAGTTCAAGTGTATAATCATCTCATCCAATTTAGCTCTTTTTCTTCTTTCATTTGGTAATTGTTGGAATGGAAGCATGGATGATGGATTCCAACCTTAGTTGCTTATTAATGGGCTTTAGGATTGTAAATATGGCCACAGTATGTGCTCCAAAAATAATATTGATTGGATGGTTTCAATTACCATGATGTTTTTGTTACATGCAATACCAAGGGGTGACCAAAGAATGTCCAGTTTAATAACCTTGCCCTATATGCATGAGGTAGGAAACTTAGAATTATTTTGTGTTTAATAATAACAAAATATCCTCAATTCATGTCTATGTCTTCAGTGTAGACAAAACTAAAACAGATCATAAGAACACATCATCAAGCCAAAGATATCTCATCTCGTACCTCTATTTGATTGTCTATTGGCAACACTATAACCACCAACATAACCCACAGAACTTTTAGCTGTAACATCTGAAGCTGCACTGCCGAGACCATACCCAAATGAGCCAGACTCCTCTAGCTCTGAAGTTGCAGACCGCCAAGTAGGGTCACCATAAACTGAACCACCACCATAGAAGTCTCCATAAGCTCCATCATAACCACCACTTGATGCAGCATATGATGACGCTGTAGCAGCATTAGTTCCACTGTTTCTTCCATACCCTCCTCCACCCAACCCATAACTGCTATCACCACTTCCATAACCAAGATTCCCGCTGGCAAAGCCAGAAGAACTCCCTCCACTTTGAGCCGAAATAGGAGAAGAACCCCAATTTGCTGCACTATTGCCAAAAGCACCTCCAATAGTCCCACTACCAGAGCCCATGTAAGCACTAGAACTTGTAGAGTTTGAGACATAACCAAGCCCCCCATTTCCCCACACATTCCGGCTACTTGAGCTTAAAAGAGAACCGCTCCCTCCATTACTTCCATTGTACCCAATAGGACTACCAAACCTACTTGTGTTCCCACTGTAGTAAGGGCTCAATCCCCGTCCATAACCTATATTAGTACCAAAGCTTGCCCCATAACTTGGGCTCAGTCCTGGCTCAAAATTCATGCCGCCCATTCCATAACCAGGAGGACCAAATGATGGATATCCACTCCGACTACCAGCAACTGGACTAAATCTACCATCCATTCTAACTCCATAGCCTCCAACTGAACTCGGATTATATCCTTGAGTATAGCCATTAAGAAAGCTATTGACCCTGCTCAGGCCATAATTATATCCACCTAAGGGGCTCCTGCTGGGCCCTGGAGATAACTCTTTAGGGACAGCCCTCTTGACCTCAACCATTTTACCATTCAGTTCATGGAATGTTTTAACTAACACTTTCTCTACTGCATCTTCTGAATCATAAGTGATAAATCCAAAGCCCCTTGGCCTTTGAGTGTTGTGATCATACATTACCACAACATCTGTGATTGTCCCAAACTGCTCAAAGTACTTCTTGAAGTCACTCTCGGTGACTGTGGATGCTAAACCTCCTACAAATATCTTTTTAGTGCGGGCAGGACCCGGTGATCCATGAATGCTAGCATTGTTTCTATTCAGAATGTGCTGATCATCCCTTGGAACAGCCTTCTTCGCTTCAACCTGAGAATTCAGAATCAAAAAATGAAAACTACCCGTGAGATATACCAAGAATTTTAAAGCCCGAGAAAGGATCAGATGCTTTAATTCCAGGTAAGACATTGAAAGCTTGAAACAGAAGAAATGTTCTCATATATATTCATAAATGTGTGTGCGGGAGGATGAATCCTCAACTGAAATTTATGGAATTCGGAATCAGATTAAGGAATCGAATTCTTAGAATTAAACTTTTGAAATGAAAATGCCAGAGATATAATAAGTTACCGGTTATTCCCAAATTGCAATTCTTCTTTTTTCTATAAAAATCAAAACGCGATTGATTTCCAACAATCTACTTACCGTTCTACCATCTATAGTATGCTTCTCCATAACAACTCTTTCTGCCACAGTTGGGTCGGCAAAGACAACAAAGCCAAAACCACGGGCACGACCTGTGGTCCTATCCTTCATGATCACAGCTTCCACTACTTCTCCATAAGATTTGAAATACTCCTTGAGACGATCTTCATTTGTGTCCCAGGAGATTCCACCTATGAAGAGTTTTCCGAGATCCGATTCCATTTTTCTACAATCACATACCAGATTATCTTATCAATTCTGTTTCTACACCCAACCAAAAAGATTAGCAATACACAAATGAAATATGGACATCAGATCCAACTAGTAACAGATAATTCAGGAAGAGATAAATCAAAAACCACAAAATTTAATTTATTTTGAACAAAGAAATCCAACCGACTAGATTAAAATGCAGATAAAAATGAATGAAACAAGAAGACGCGTACCTTATCCAAGGAATTACCCAGAGAGCGGCAAATAGTATATCAGATATCAAATGGGTACTCTCAAATTCAATTCAGTAATATCGGATCCTTCATGGATCGAATAGCCCAAAATCCAATATTCCTGAAAAATCCAGCAAATAAAATTAACAGAAAAAAAAAGGAAATGAAATCCAATAAGATCAGAAATAAAACCTCGTTGAACGAAGATCAAGAGATAAATAGAAGAAAGATGCGGAGCAAAACAAACTCTAAATCTCACCGGTTAGGAAAAAAAAATCGGATGTGAAAAATCCGAGCAATCTAAGATCTGAGAGGAGGCATAATAAGAACAGAGGGCGTGTTCATCCTCCTCGAAAAGGCCCCCCTTTTGCCTTACTCTTTCTTTCTTCTTCCAATTCCGTTCGATACAATGAAATTTTACACTAAATACAGAAAAGAAAGGAGATGTATATGGTTGGGTTTCGAATCTGAGAAGTTGTAAATTGTAATATAAATAGAGAGGAGAGGGAGGAAGACGTTTGCGATCTTCTGGTGTGTAAGAAATGGAGATGATGGATGACGATGATTTTGAGTGAGATTTCAAAATAAAGTGTCTTTTTTCTTCATTTTTTTTTTTTCTTTTTCTCATTTTCCTCTCTTTTTTGTCTTTTTAGTTTTTGGACTACCAAATAAAACAACTTAGATTCCTGATGCACGGAAGCGATTGTTTGATGTTTTTCTCTCGTCCATTCGTCCACATTTCTTCTATACGTAAGTTCCAGTATCCAGTATCCATTGCTAGGACACAAAGCACAGTGTAAATTCTGAATACGTGTCACATTTAGAAAGGTTGTGAGTTGTGGACTCAAATCCAAAGCTTATTTTATTTTGGTAGATAAGTTACTTTGTTCCATCGGATTAACATTTTCCAACCGTGGGATTTATGGAATTTTTTATAAAAAAAAATCGTGAATATATACGAGAATTTTTCTTATCAAAACTCTAAACTCCACAGTAGAAATCAATGATCGAGATCATCTCCTTGGTAGAGATCCTCCATTGTTGGTGGGCCCTGTTTAATGTTTTGATATTGATATGCAAACGTTTTACCATGCAACTGACAGATAAGAATGCGCATTTTTGTGTTAATAAATATACACATCAAATGCTCAAGTGGCATTCATATTCTGATATTCAAGGTTTAGTTTAGGGCCCACAGTGCACAGCATTAGGCAATGGCTTTTGATTTGGATATATCTCCTAAGTGATAGCTGGCTTTGCTGCTAATACCCACCTCAACCGTATAATTTTGTAGATTCCCATTTGTTTTCTTACTACCGGTGGATCGTATGGACGTACGTACCTAGCAACCATGTGTGATAGTGTGATACTTCTAAACTGCCAGCCTATATCATGTGTATGACAGGACCACAAAATAAGCAATAAGCGTGGTCAATGGTAACAGACTTACAGTGTTGATTGTAAGCCCACGTATATCTCTTAAAAAAGGTTCCAATCTAGTGGTTCTAAAACAAGGGTAACAGTTTCCCCTCTATTGATATTGGTAGTTGGCAATGGACAATAGTGACTACTGACCGTATAAATCAAACCCCGTGACTACAAACATTTTTTTTAATCGGTTTCTCAAATCGGATTTCAGACTCAGAACCGCCTTAAAAAATAAGAAAAAAGAAAGAGAAAAAATATTATTTGATATAATAGAACGAGAAGTAATTTATCTTTTCAAATATAACATTTATTAATCTACTTTTATTTTGTTACTTTTGGATCATTTATTTAAACACCCCCTATAATTTAGCATATTTGTTAAACCCTACCATCTAATTTGTCTTTTATAAACCACCCCTTAATTGTCAACGACGTGAAACTAGAGGGGGTGTATAAGTAAATGACCCTTGATTGACCTTGATTTTTCCCGGTTTAGTGGGTAATTCGGTTCGGCAAAGCCGGGTGGTTCTGCTGCCGCATGCCATATTTCTTTTGCTAACGACGTATGTTAAATAACGGTTTTTTTTGGGCTAAGTACGTGGAAGTGGAATGGAATGGACAACATAGTATTTCGAATGCTTTCTACCACCACCAACACAACACAACACCACGTGCTTGCTTAATCGTAATGCATAGTTAGCGGGGACTCGTGTGATGCACGGAAAAAGCCGAAAAAGTTAATAATTTTATTTATTATTAATTAATATTAAATTAATAATCAAAATTTGTTGCTAATTAATTAAAAATATTCAAAATTATTGTTAATATCTAAAATTTTAATAATTATATTTTTATTTAATATTGATTTACAGAAAATAATAATTATTAATTTAATATAAATAAATATTTTAATAAATTTAGTTTTATTAATAATTTATAGTAATTTTAATAATTGTTATCATTTTTATTATTTTTAAATGAAATTTTGATTAATTTTAAATAAAAAATAATTTCAATAGCTAATATTTTTATTAATTTCACTAATAATTAACAACTATATATGAAGACAACGGAGTGGGCTCAGGGCGAGGCCTGCAAATTTATAGATCTAATCAGGTTAGGTTAAGTTATAAATGATTTCTTACTTTTTTATTATTAATTATTAAAATATTGTAACTATTAAATTACTGTATTTATTTAAAATACAGCAATTTTTTGGAAATTATCATATTTTCAGAAATATTGCTAAAACTAATTAAATGTATTTTGCTGGTAATTAAGTAGAACTTTTTGGTAATTAAATGTAATTTTCTACTATTTCTTGGTTAAAACTAATTAAATGTAATTTTCTACTATTTATAACTTAAATTATAACTACAATTAATTATAGCTTAAAAATAATTATTGTTAATTATATTACTATTTATAATTAAAATACATTATTATTTCATTATTATTCTATATTTTTTGCAATAAAATACAATTAATTTATTTTTTTAATTATTTTAGTATTTTAATTAAGTTTTAGGTTTTTCAAATTTTTTGGATTTTTAATTAATTTTTGGTATTTTTTAATTATTATTTAATATTTTTTGTATATAAAAATTTTCAATATTTTTAATATTTATTTGTACATATTAGTCACTACAAAATTAATATATATAGATAGATAAATAGATAGGTAGATAGATAGATAGATATTGCCGCTAAAAAGGGCATATTCATCATTTGACATGATATTGCCGCTAAGAAGGGCAAAATCGTCATTTGGCATCATTAATCGCCACTGTGGAACAGTACGGGTGGAAACTGGAAACTGAGCCGGGTAAATCACATGCACGAATAAAGACAAACGATTTTAATGTGGGAGTGGGACGATGATGCCTTGTAAATGTGTCAGTGTGTGTGTGTGAGAGAAGCACCAGATCATTGATCTTATCCAATAAAATAATAGCAGTATTAGGTATTACATTAGCTGTCCATGATAACAGAGAATAGAATTGAATGATTTAGATGGAACGTGCTCATCACCATGAATTCAGGTATCTTCACATCGAGTTCACATCTCCTCGTCACAAGGGGCCGTCTTACAGCACATTCCCACCGTTTATTAGGAACATCTCCTGATAGTATCAAAACTGATGATATCATCATTGGGAGATATTCTTAATACATGGCGGAGGATGTATTATGGGACATTGTGGGGCGACCCTTTGTGGGAAGGAGATGTAAACTCATGAGTAAGATAGGAGATCGGATCTTTCATATGGGTTGGGGGATGGGCATCCTCACCCCATTATGTAGCCCCTTGGAGCTGGAAAAAAAGAAAAAAAACTATGCTAATAGCAGTGTAAAGTTAAGTAATTGCGATTAAGATTATTGTTAATTATTCTTATGGATAAAGCATCATCTTTTCTTAAATATTATTTGTCTCTCTTTCCACAAGAATCAAGAACAAATGGCCAGCTGGTCAAGACTGAAAAATCTTATATGCCTCCCATTCCCACCCACTCCACCACTACCTTCCCCTACCTCATAATTTCCACCTTTTTTCCTGTTAGGCCGTGCCTTATGCCTTGTTTTGGAAGAAACAGATGAGAGAACATACATACAGAAAGTTAATGGAAAGTTGTTAATAAATTTTGTAAAGTTCCTTTCAATTTCTGTCTCATTTTCTACGAAGCCAAACAATATAACCTTGCTTATGTTTGGTCCTTTTGAGTTACTTTTCAAAGGGGTGTCAATTGGACCGGATTTGGTCCAATTTGATCAGTCCAATGTGAACCCATTATAAATGGATCAGGTCCAATCAAGTCTAATAAATATTTTGGACCGGTCAAATTTAATGTCTGAACCATCAGACTGCGCCACGTCTCCTGGCTGACGGCACAGTCCCTGCTAATTCAACAGACTACACCCACGTCTCTCGACAGATGGTGGCGTGCCTGTCCTCCCAGGACGTGTGACTCATCTGATTGGGGAGTACCCTGCAACGGTTACCTACGCAGACCTGGCAGATAACGGCTGTGACAGAAGCCTAGTGACGGTTACACCCGATTTGACAAGAACGCCTATATAAGAGCCCCTTAGTCGAAGGGGAGGGAATCTGATATGATTTTGGATCTTGAATCATCTTACCTTACTCAAGCTTGCTCTCAAGCTAATCTGGAGCACTTAGTGATCTAGCGTGACCTACACTCTTAGCCTCTTTACACTCTTTACTATTTTCCCCAGCGTTCTAACTTAAGCATCGGAGTATTCCTACCAGGCAAGTCCCCCGGGAATTCTTCACCGTCTTCTTCTCAGGTGCCGTCCGTTGCCAGATAGGAGCCAGTCAGCAGCCAGCTAGGAGTGCCCGGATTGCGCAGCATCATTTGGCGTCGTCTGTGGGAAACGCTTCAAAAAGCCTTCCTCTAAGCTTCTACAGTTTCCTTTTGAAAACTCAGCATTCATGGCCTCCTCCAGCAACGCCGTACGTGGTGCTAGCCAAAACGCTTCTAGGGAGCAACCCCAACTTCCCACTGTCTGTATTGGACAGTTCACCGTCCCCCTCTCCGTGGACGGGATTTCCAGTCTGAACGTGCCTCTCACAGTGGCACCCGTGGACGCTCCACTCCCTTCCACGGTGGGAACAACCTTTGCTGAACCTTCGGTTGTGCCCCTAGTGGCCAACCCAAATCAGCTGGAAGACTTAATGCAATGCATGCGAGCCATGCAAGCTCAAATGCAACAATTCCAACAGTTTCAACTTTACCAACAACAAATGCTGCATCATGTCTCCCAGTACCAGTACCAGCAGCAGTTTCCCTCCTTGCCTCAGGCCCAGCCGCCGCTTCCCCCTCGGCACCCGGCCA